TAGGTGGACCGAGGCAAGCGAGACTGCATTTGAGAAACTGAAGGAGGCTATGACGATAATGTCGGTGCTCGCAATGCCAAGGTTCGATGTCATGTTCGAAATCAACTCGGATGCGAGCGAAGGAATCGGGGCAGTCTTGGTGCAGGAAGGACGACCCTTGGCCTATCTTAGCAAGGCGCTCGGGCCGGCGCGCCAAGGGTTGTCTGCGTACTTGAAGGAAATGCTCGATGTGGTCGAGGCAGAGTGATGTTGGAGGCCTTACTTGCTTGGGTAACACTTTTGAATTGTCACGGACCAACAACCGCTCAAGCACTTGCTCGAGCAAAGGATAATAACACCCGAGCAACAGAAGTTCGTGTCCAAGTTGATGGGGTTCAACTTCGAGATAGTGTACCAGCCCAGTCGACAAAACGTCGTGGTCGACGCATTGTCTCGGCGGGAAGAAATGGCAGAGCTCGAGGCCATCACTAGGCTGACTTGGGCGGTCTGGGATGAGCTTCGCAAGGTGCAGGATGAAGACGCTCATTGTCGGAACGTGCGCGAGAAGATGGAGTCTGACAGTGACAAAGTCGCAGACTACGAGAAACACGATGGCCTGCTCCTTTACCGCGGACGAGTGTTTGTGCCCGACGCGGGCCAACTAAGCGAGTGGGTCATCCGACACTTTCACGACTCAAAGTTTGGTGGACATTCGGGAGTGTTCAGAAATTGGATGAGGTTGGCGAGTACGTTCCTTTGGCCAGGACAAAAGGGCGATGTGCAAAACTATGTCGCGCGATCCGACGAATGCCAAAGGACTAAGGCGGATGCATGCCGACTGGGAGGGCTACTCCAGCCTTTGCCGGTGCCCACGCGGATGTGGGAAGACATCACCATGGACTTCATCGAGGGGCTTCCGCTCTCAAACAGTTTCAACGGGGTCATGGTGGTGGTTGACCCTCTAACTAAGTACGCGCACTTCATTCCGCTCACGCACCCGTATACGACCAAGTCTATTGCGAGACTCTTTATGGAATATGTGATGAAACTACATGGAGTCCCACGTTCCATTGTGTCCGAACGCGACCGCATTTTTATGAGTAGCTTTTGGTTGGAGTTTTTCAAGTTGCAAGGGACTAAGCTTTCCATGAGTTCGGCCTATCACCCGCAAACCGACGATCAAACTGAAGTCACGAACCGCATGCTCGAGCAGTACCTCTGGTGCTATGTTCATGAATTTCCAAAGCGGTGGGATGGCTATTTTCCTTGGGCCGAGTATTGGTATAACACCACTTACCATAGCTTGACTAAAGCGACTCCGTTCGAGCTGGTGTATGGACGCAAAGCGCCGACAATCGTGATCTATTCAATGGGGAGTGCGATTAATGACGAAGTCGACCGAGAGCTTGTCGAGCACGACTTGTTGTTGCGTGAACTTAAAAGGACGCTCGATGGCTCGATAAACCGTATGAAGGAATACCATGACGGGAAGAGGCACGAGGAGGATTTCGAGCCCGGAGACTTGGTGTAGTTGAAGTTAAGGTCTTTATGACAAAGGATGGTCGCACAAAAGGCTGTGACCAAGTTCGAAGTTCGCTACTTTGGGCCTTATAAAATTTTAAAGAAAGTCAGGAAGGTCGTATATTGGCTCGAGCTACCGGACGAGTACCACATTCACTCGGTCATTCACGTTGCACAGCTCAAGCGAAGTATCGGCGACGCGCACAAGCTAATGGATCGATTGCTCGCGACTGCGCCATATGGGCAAATTGTTGTTCGGCCAAATCACGCACTCGAATACCGACAAGTGAAGAAGTCTAGGAAATATTTTGGGAAGTTTTGATCGAATGGAAAGAATTGCCGGACGAAGAAGCAACTTGGGAAAGTTAAGATGACATGCGCTAAAGGTTCGCCGAATTCATCCTTGAGGACAAGGAAGATCTTGAAGGGGACATGAATGATGAGAACACGGCGAGAAGTCTCAAGAATGCGGCGAGTCGCGCGTACCATGCGTGCCGAAGGTTAAACCGGCAAATGGCCGAGATGCAAAAAATGGAAAGGATCGAGCACACGCAGAGGGTGACGTGTGCGATAAGCACGTGAGGGTCGAAGAGCCGAGCAACTTGGTGAGTAGCCGCACGCAAGCGGCGGGACGCACGCACGCATCCAGGCGGCAAAGGCCAAGTCCTGGCCGGGCGAGGGAAGTTGGACGCGGAGTGGCGCGCAAGCAAAGAATCTCCTAGATTAGGCTAGATCCTTATTTGTTTTCCTTGTTACTGATTATAGCTGCTACTCGACTTACTGACTATAACTGTTGCTCGACTGACTCACTATAATTGTTACTCAACTGACTGACTATAATTTTTTCTCGACTGACTGACTATAATTTCTGCTCGACTTACGAGAAGGACACTTGGCTATAAGGAACTGATCTATAGCTCGTTACCCCGTAAGGAAGAAATATTCTAACCTCATCTAAAATTTCAACTTAACTCAAAACTTATCTAAGGTTCTTATCTTATCTTAACTAGCGTTCTGTTCACTTAGCTAGAACGGATCTACTCGCTAGATTATTCTCCTTATTTGGGCAAACTAACTCTTACATACATATCTCGGCCATGATATTGCAATTATAGAAAATGTAGTACCCAGTACAGGGTCCCCACCTGATATGCTGAAATGCAAGTGTTGAATGGATTGCAACTGTCAGAGGCTCGACTCCCCACAAGTTACAAAATATATAAGCACAAAATATATTCTAAGTACTCAGATTAAACTGAAAAACTCAAATCTCATAATCTGATCTGACTAGGTTTGTTCACTTGACTTTAAAATCTTTTAAAACTCATTTTAGGAATTTACGAGCTGATTTTGAAAATTTATTGTCTTTGAGGCATACTAGAGTTTTTCGAAATTTATCTTACTTGTTCGAAAAAGCTGGATTCTCGGTTCACGCTCAAACCGAGATTCCGAACTGCACTCCCGAATTGTCCGGACTGCCCAGACTAATTTGGTTGATCTGAAACTCTTCGAAATGTCCATTCTGTCTAGACTGGTTTGATTGAATTGGACCGACGGCTCACTCGGAACCGACCAATCATTCGCTTGACTATGTGCAGCTCGGCTTAACCGTGGTCCGTGTTCGGTGTGGCAACTCAGGGCCGACACGAACACGGCTGACATGTCTTAGCCAATGCACTGGTTTGAAACGGTGCCACGCTCACTGACGCAGGGGCGTGGTCGGACCACGACTAACGAAAAATATCGCGTTGACGGTAGGTCGGACGGACGCACGGGCGTTGAACAGAGCGCAGGGGCGTGGCTCAGTCGAACTCGGTGTACGGGCATGCACTCGGTGGCGCGGCTCCAACGATTGGACGAGAGTACCACACGTGTGCAGGACGACGATATGCGTTGAAGGATACGTGCTAATGCATGTCGGTTGATTAATTAAGCTCGCTACGAGGCACACGACCTCAGTAGCTTTCTTAGGCTCGGCTATGATTTCGTCGGTGACTAACCGACCGACCGACAACATCCCGACATGCAAGGACTCATTTATAATCTTACAACGTCTAAAGTTGTTTAAATGGAATGAGGGTTCGGGCGATTAAACTCGGATTCAAAATTTACTTGGTTATCGTAATTGGATAAAACGAGGGTTTTAGTTCTCTGAGTAAACTGACTTGTTTTAAGCCAAAACTTTAACTCTAAGTTCAACATAATTTATAAGAAATTTTCATCAACCATTTTCAGCTAAATCCCAACCGGAACAATGTCTAAAATTAGGGCAAAATGAGGCTAAAGCCTTAAATTTTTATCCATATCAAACGATCTAAAAAATTTACGAAATTTAAGCCACAACAACTACAACTCATACATGATTTTTGGTAAAAATATCACAACATATATTCAATACCTAACACAATTAACAAAAATCGGGCATTATCGATCCAAATTTATAAATTTGGTTCGCATATCAAACGGATTTCAAAATTCACCAAACTTTTACCCAAGCCTCAAGACGATTATAAAATATTTATAGAGTTAGAATCACAACTTTTGGATCATCTCACAATATATTATCAATTGTATTCTATTTAATTCAATAAATTCATATAAATCATATTTATTCTATTTTCTGCCGCTAACATTTTTAAAATAAATTATAATTCATGTCTAATGGCATGGAGTTAATTAGTGTTTGATGTGTTGGGGGAAATGAGGGTGCTATGTATTTATAAATGTAGATGAGCTACGGTTTGTTGCCATTTTTGGGCTTGGAGATTGGGCCTAGAATTAAATTAACTTGAACAGGAAATTATAATACTACTTGGGCTCGGTGAATTAAAATACCAATCGGTCATAAATAAAATATTGGCTCGAATTAAAATGTCTCGATCAAACAATTGGACCGGTTGGCCAGAATAAAGTGGACTTGCTCGAATTTAAATGGGTCGCGTAGATTAAATATTCGGGCTTCGCCCGACTTAATAAAATTCCGATCATTCCAAGGCTCGATTTTTACTTTTAAAAATAAAACTGATACTTGGCTAAATAAATTCGATTTAAAAATTAAAAATCGAATAAATTCTCCATGGCTTAGACTTAAAATTAAATACTCGATTTAACAAAAATAATACTAGATTAATGCATCGATAAGAAAACTTGCTATTTGTGGAAATAAAGTCGAGCATCATAAATAGTAAAAATATTATGGGTGTTTCACCGAGCCTGTGTAATTCAACACTTCACGCGTGGCTTTCGAATTTGTTTACTTAAAAGGGTGTAGTCGTTCTTATTAAACTCTTTTATTTATTTTCAGTTATTTCAATTTATTCATGTTATTTAGGTACTGAAATTTGAGTATTTATTGTTAATTTCCGTTTTCAGCTTGAAGCGGAGTCATCAGGACGTGTTCGGGATAAACCGGGTGCGATTCGTGATCGACCGAGCGTTGTCCGGGACCAACCAGGATCAGCCAGGGACTGACCGGGAGCTGTTCGGTCTCTACCAGGCTGCACATTACCTCGAAGATTACCGGCACTTCAAGCGGGCCTTCGACGGGCGGATACCCAACAAAATGTCCGAATATTTAGTTGTCTGCCATTATCTTCAGCGTCCAACCAAAAAAAGGTTAATAATAATAACAATTATATCTTCAATTCTTCAGCTTGCTCGATCCACAAACATTTCTCACGATAAAAAATAACAATATGAAATCAAAATGGTATTGAAAATATATTTTCCTCGTCCAGGAAAGACCTGTGAAATAAAAATTACCAATTGCAGTAGAGTCAAGTACAAAAAATTAAAAAGTAAAGAAATTTGGAAACTAAAACAACTAACCAGCAGTGATGGCGCCCCCTGGCGAATTGAGGAACATATGGATAGGTTTGGAGGAGTTCTCCGACTCGAGAAAGAGGAGCTGCGCAACAACGATATGAGCGATATCGTCGGAGATGGGGCTATTGATGCAGATTATTCGCTCCTTCAACAACCAGGATAATATGTCATAGGCCCGCTTCTCTCGTGACGAGTGCTCAATCACCATCAGTATAAGCCCATACCATCTTCGCCCAACATCGGCGTTGAAAATAGAAGAGGGCCATAGATTGCGCCAGAGCAAGCTTTGCATCATTGCTTGATTCTATGCTGCGGCGTATTTTTGTAGATGGAGCAACGAATAAAAGAAACTGTCTATCCTTTCTCAATATTTGATTACTCAATTAACACAGCGGATGACATATTCCACTTTTACCCGATTGTATTACCATTATGCATTTTTCTAAAAAGATTTTCAGTTTTCACTCAATTGCTAGACGGTTCCAATTTATTATATCTTCCTCTTGTCAGATTTTTTATCATCAATTTTTCTCTCTTTCTCTTTCCTTTTTTCACTTCTTCTTCTTCTTCTTCCCTAACTTTTTAATTTTTTCTTTCTCAAATCCGCACACCAAAGCTCCACCCTCTCCCCAATTTCTCTTGTTTTTCATTATAATTCTACATCCCAAAACTTTTTTATTCTTATTTAACATAACAAATTATCATATCCTTTTTCTATCATATCCATTTTTTTCAACCCCAAATCCACATCTCAAAAATTTTGACGGAATCATTCTTCTGCAAAAACCTTCAACATGTCTGTTCAACTTCGTTTTCGAACGAATTATCATAGCGCGATCTCCTGAAGAGAGTGATTGATTTGTTGCACAAATGGTAAATTCATCAATATGATGTATTGTACCAATGGTATACTCTTTAATTTATTCTAATATACTAGTGGACGTGCACATCTGGCCCGAGTTTAGTCTACAACTATAAAATATTGATTTTTATTTTTGTATCTCCCAAAAAAATGCAACTTAAAATGAGGCCAACCTTATTGATATATTTGGCTGACTTGAATAGTACAGATACATACATTAGGCATCATTTCTAAAGGTAGATATGATAAGTCAACATTTCTAAAAGTAGATATGATAAGTCCTCTGTAGTATGAGCCCTTTAGCAATATAAAGACTTCAAAGGTATACATGTTTGGAACAATGGGAATGTGCATGAAAGATTAGATGTTTCAGCTTACTTTAATCCATGATTTAGGAAAGTTTTTCACATGAACCTAATTAAATGATTTGTTAATAAAATATATACATTTACGTAAGCCCATATGATATAAGTATTAGGGGTGAGCGTGGGTCGGTAAGGTTTGGAGATTGATAAATCTCCAGAACCGTACCAAACTTCGGAGATCCCAAAATTTGATCTCCGGAACCGTACCAAAAGGTCGGTTTGGTTCGGTTCAGAGATTTTTATTTTTCGGATCGGTATTCGGGACTATTGGGACGGTTCGGTATTCGAGATTATTGGGACGGTTCGGTTTGGTATTCGGGACTATTGGTTCGGATTTTTGGAGATTTTTTTTAAAATTCTTTTTGAATGACTACCTGGTTATATTTTAACTAGTTTTTATCCGTGCATTTGCACGGAAAGCTATATGATAAAGAAAAAAATAAAAATAGAAACAATAGTAAAAATAATAACATGGTCATTGATAACTCGGGTTCAACAACAAAAATCTAAATCTAAATATTATTAAACACTTCCCTATATACAACATTCGTGGTTTTCCTATCGTCAAAATCTCCATCACCAAAGATCATTATCTTCAGACCCCTCCGATTCGTGACTCTAGATAGTGCCACATACAACTGTCCATGACTGAATACAGGGTTCTTCAATATTAAGCCGACGTGTGAAAGTGACTGGCCTTGACTCTTGTTGATAGTCATAGCATATGAAACCATGAGCGGAAATTGCCTGCGTTGGAATTTGAACGATACCCTCAAATCGACTGGTACGATTGTCAGCCTAGGAATAAGAACCTTGTCACCAGCTCTGGCACCAGTTAAAATCTTGCATTCAAGGACATGGCTGCTGAGCTTAGTGATAACCAACCGTGTACCTATTGACATTAAAACTCGGTAACAAAAGCATATCACTCAAATTTGTACAATGATAAAAAGAAATATAGACGAAAAATGAATTTTGATGAACATTACCGTTACACAACCCCATGGAGTGATCAATGTTTCTGAGAAGCATCACTGGAGTGCCAAACTTAAGGTGCAATTTATGATTCGGAAGTCCAGAGCACTTGATCCCATTGAGAAATTCAGGAGTTTGAAGATCCTGAAGAGAATCATATCCAGCATCTGACTTGCACGCGGTATCCGAACTCAAATAAGTCCTTCCCTTAGATGAGTTCATCGAGCTCATGTACTCGTTAACGGACTCAACCACATCAAGTGTGGGAGCGAGTATGGCTCTGTCCTTTAGGTAGCTAAGATCGTCACCTGCACTCCTAAACATCGGGTAGGTACTCTCAACAATAGTACCAATAGGATCCCCTTGTGAGTTTAGAAGAATATCGTCGGGGATGTCGATATCGGCACAACCGTCGTTCGATCCACCGATTGTACCATCGCCGATGTTTGCAAGCCACTCAGAGAAGCGCCTCAACTCATTGTACTCATCACCCCCACCAAGGCTTGGAGCCTCATATTCCGAGTCAGTCTCAGAACGATACAATCGCACCAAAACTTGGATGAATTGATGGTGACGTTGACTATGTCACTCCGACTGCCTTTAGGGACAACGGGGAGTATCTGTCTGAAATCCCCACCTAACACAACACACTTGCCGCCAAATGGGAGATTTTTCCTCGATGGATCAACTGCTTCCATTAAGGCACGCAAGCTATTGTCAACTGCCTGGAAACAATATTTGTTCATCATCGGAGCTTCATCCCAAATGATCAACCGACATCGTATGATGAGTTTGGCCAAAGGACTCTGCTGGCTAATATCACATGTAGAGCTTTCCACTGGATTTAGTGGGATTTTGAATCGTGAATGCGCAGTTTGTCCGCCGGGCAACAAAAGTGATGCGATACCGCTCGATGCAACATTCAACACAATCTCACCTTTGGATCTCAAAGCAAAAGACAACGCCCTCCAGTCATACGTTTTACTGGTGCCGCCGTAACCATAAATGAAAAACATGCGGCCGTAGGTACGGTAAACAGAGTTCATTATCGAGCCATAAACATTCTGCTGCTCATCAGTCATATTGGCAACCAACTTCTGGTTCTCAATAGCGAGTGCACGTCGATCGTAATTCAACTCGTCCATCACCTGTCTGTCCGTGGATGCCTCATTATGATCGAGATTAGGAAAAGGCATTGTATTGTATTCGCGTAAGCTCGAACCACGTTTGCGCAAAAAAATTTCAACTTCCGCCAAGGCCAAATATTTTACTTCATCATCGCTCAGTACCAATTCTGTAACACCAGTATACAAAGTTTATAAATATACAAAAGATGAAAAGAAAAAAAAAATAAGATTGTGACAGTAATTGATTGACTAACCTGGGTGCTGTAAAACCCACCGACGATTGTATAATATATCATCCGATAGATAAGGCCAACATGATTCCCACACGAACTCCGATCGACCGAGAGTAACAGAAGACAACAAAGTAGCAAAAAGGTTTCTCAACGAATTGGCACTCGACCACTGGCTTGCCTCGATAATCCCTTCAATATACTCTTTGTCGTCCTCCACCAGACCAAGAGAAAAACACGCGTCATGATATGAATCGTGTTGTACTCCGTCCAACTTCATATAGTCACGATGGCATGTTACACCTCGAACAATGTTGATAAGACACCACAAGTAATATATGTCACCAGCACCAGGGGGACGAAGTACAAACGCGCGATACGGTTACTTCCTTTTCTAGGCTCCCAACTGTTGGTTTCCGAGTGCCACGTAATTTTGGTGGGAGCCTCAACGTACGTCAGTTTCCTGGCTTCGGGATACTTCTTGTTAGCTTCCATCCAAGCTAAAAATTTGCTGCTGGCATCTTTATTTTTCTTAACCACTTCATCTATCGGGACTTCATTAGGATAGTAACACGGATGCTCATTCTCGAGGTGAAAATTCAAGCGCTCCACTGATGGGTGCTTGTATTAAATCTCATACTCCAACAATCGTCACGCAGCCTCACAAGATGAAACGTATCGACAATCATAGAACATCTTCACCTCGTCAACTGGCCTGCTAGAGGACTCATCTCCATTAGACGCATGGAAGGTGGCAGTAACGCGATCGTTCCCCTTGTTCACGTACTTGAACAAATATTTTATGGACCTGGACTGGTTGCACCACTCCATATTTATGTGCGCGTCGTACTTCAGAAGCAATTTTCTGTTATGGGGCACAACGTATCTGTTATCCAGGGGAATTTCATTCTTTTCGATGGTCCTGCCATTATCACAACGTCTGTATCGTGGATAGCCTTCTTCGTCAAGAGTCGTGGTTTCAGAGAACTTTTTTGGAAAATGTTTTGTGCAACAATCGTTCGCCATACATGGAGATTTCGGGCGAACACTTCCGCAGGGGCCATGCATCATATGATCTCTAACAACAGCATAGTAAAATGGATCGGTGGCCTCATCCGGTATTTCGGCAGAAATTATTTTATCTATGTCATCAGTAGTCTTTATCTTGAATTCACTGGAAAGGAAAAGCAAGATATGGGCATGCGGAAGGCCTTTTTTCTGGAATTAGATTGTGTAGATTGCTGTAGTAAATCCATAGTTTTGTCAAAATTAATAAATAACAAAATTTATAATAAAATTTATTAAGAAATCAGTTAAAAATTAGTTTAAAGAAATACCTGCTTTCACGTCTCCAAACATCTTGTTATGCTGAACATCCCTCATCAACTGATCCAACTTGGTCTTAAAAATCCGGCAAATAATATCAGGACGATCCTCTGGGTGGAGGTTCTTCCCAGCAAGAAAGCAACTGATTTCGGGCCACTTCGGATTGCATGTGAAGGTTATGAAAATGTCAGGATAACCGGTCCAACGACAAATGGCCATTGCATCCTGATAGTTCTGAACCATATATCTAGCGCCACCTATAAAGGATGACAGAAGTATGATTCGTTTGCCTTGAGAACCAGGATCCGTGTCACCATGCAACACAGCGTCGGAAAGCCTGCTGTACAATTCAGTTCTCAAGTTCTTCTGATTAAAACGTATGTATCTGAGCCGAGCTCCCTCCACCATTG